CCAAATTATTTGGACAATGGAAAATATTAAGCTTTTATTTCTAACTTTACTATTATTATTACTGTTAATAATAATAATAATAATAATAATGATACAGACATTAGACAATTATTCTAATGTTCCTCTCATAATCAGTTCTATATAACTATGTCTCAGGAAATTGTTACTACGGATAGGAAACTTAGCAATGACAAAAGGAATTTTAAAAGATTTTGGTTGGTTAATTTTGTTTAGCGACATATCATTTATTCACCTGTATGCGTTATTTATTGCCGAAATCTAAATATCTTGAACACACCTGCCACTCTCGCCTGAGTCCATTCTTTAAATCTATAAATCAACCGTTCGCCCTTGCATGGAATACTGCTGCCATATATGGTCTGGAGCCCGCGATGTTCGTCTTAAGGTCCTCAACAAAATCCAGAAGCGGATAGTCAATGTGATTGATCCTGATCTGGCATCTCGTCTACAGTCACTTTCTCACAGACGTGCCGAAGCATCCCTCTCTCTTTTCTGCAAATACTTTGACGGTAACTGCTTCGACGAGCTACTTTCTCTAGTTCCCAAACTGCATGAATTTATGCATGTTACTGGGCTGTCACATCAGTCCAATCCTTTCACTGTCGAAATTATTAAATTTAGCCGTATTTTCTACTCCAATAGCTTCATATTTCGCACTTCTCGTGTGTGGAACTCCATTCCTCTTACTTGCTTCCCTGATAGCTATAATCTTTAATTATTCAAATGCAATGTCAATCAGCATCTTCAGATTCCTTGATCTAATTCTCTGATTGATCTAATTATCTTCATCCATTCCTCTATCACGCCTCTTTACTTTTGCTACCACTCTCTGTAACCCTTTGCTTACTAGTGAAACTCCCGTCTTGCTTAGGGTGAAATGCTTAAAAAAAAAAACAACAAAAAAGCAAAAAGCAAAAAAACAAAACAAAATAAAAAGAAAACAAAACATTTCTGGCTTCAAATAAATGTTTGGAATGCAGATTATGACTTCAGCTGCAGATAAAATGTATTTTTGATCATTATGCCATAAAAAATAGTTGTATGACTTCAGCTGCAGTTAAAATGTATTTTGATCATTATGCCATAAAATATAGTTGTATGACTTCAGCTGCAGTTAAAATGTATTTTTGATCATTATGCCATAAAATATAGTTGTATGACTTCAGCTACAGATAAAATGTATTTTTGATCATTATGCCATAAAATATAGTTGTATGACTTCAGCTGCAGTTAAAATGTATTTTTGATTATTATGCCATAAAATATAGTTGTATGACTTCAGCTTCAGATAAAATGTATTTTTGATCATTATGCCATAAAATATAGTTGTATGACTTCAGCTGCAGTTAAAATGTATTTTTGATCATTACGCCATAAAATATAGTTGTATGACTTCAGCTACAGATAAAATGTATTTTTGATCATTATGCCATAAAATATAGTTGTATGACTTCAGCTGCAGTTAAAATGTATTTTTGATCATTATGCTATAAAATATATTGTTGGTTTTTTTTAAATATATAATCATGTATTGCCAGTATTTTACTATCAGACTGTATTTTCATAGTGGTTTGTTCGGGGTTTCTCCATTTGTCCATATCTGGGGCACTAACAGTTGCTACCACCCTGGATCATGGTGGTCCTGGGAACAACATCAATTAAGAGACTGTTTCACGCTCCTTAAAACCCCCAATCACCCGATCAGATGCCTTGCTACCGGCTGTAGTTTTTCAGAAGATAGATTTCTTGCTGAAAATGCAGTTTATACCGAGATTCTAAAGATGTAACGGAACGTTTAGTGAGACTTTCTTTTTTTTCTGTCTGTAGGATATTCGTGTAGTTCAATTGAAGAAGAGTAGGTATTATATTTTGATAAACCTTTGCATATCCTGCAACAAAAACTAGAGTATTTTTGTTCGTGCTGAGTTTAATTATCGCTTGTAAGAATAAATTCGTTTGTTCAGAAAGTGTCATCGCAATTGCGAGAAGGAAATAAAAACGGATGTAAATGTAATTACGTTAAATTATATTGATTACTGGCATAATCGCCATAATAAACAATTACGATGTCACAACAATGCAAAGTCAGTGTTTCCATTTAACACCGATAAATTCCGTTGTTTTTGATGAGAAGAATGATGTGATGCCTGAACTGACATTTTTATTCCTGAATGATGTGACACGAAGACAGCATCCCCTTGTGATGGTTCACAAATTTGTCCGTCTCGCCGTATTTTATTAAACATATTTTTCTCATTCCAATTTAATCTAGCAGAACCAGGGGTGTTGTTAAATCTAATTTGTACAAAGATAAATATTCTAGTAGTTTGAATCAGCCAAAATAGTGGTCCCAGTTTTCTCTTAAAACAAGAACGCTGTCTGTACGAGGTTGAACTTTGACCTTCGTTGAGTAAAAATTGCCACCATAGTCGTTTGGGAGATATAAAAGGCTTGGCGTAAATATTTTTATCACGCTTCTGATTAGTTAAAAAAAAAATGTATTTTTTTTTTAATTTGGCTCACGTGATCTGTTCTCTCTTACCTCTGCGCTTTGGAAACCACCAAGCTTTTATTTTATGGTTATTTTTTAAACGTAGCTTAGATGTGGCTCAAGGACGAAAGTATGGCGCATACAGTGAGGATCGAACGCAGTTTTCCTTCGTAACTGATCTAGCGAGACAAGCTTGCTAACCACGTCATCATGTGACCTAGCAATTATTTTATGTCCTTGCACTGATGTTCATCATCTGTACATTTTTGTTTACGGGCAAATCACGTCGAAACATTGGTTCCCGTAGGATCACCAAAATTAATCAACGTCGAGCATGACCAGTACCTAGATGAATGACAGCTTGGCAATACCAGGTACTGTAAGATTGGATGTGCATGTGGTGCAATACACAATGGCTCCTAACTCGAAATCGACCAGCCGAGTTCCAATTCCAGTTGTGTTCATTATATTCACTTACAGAATACTTCGAAAAAAAATGAATTCACTTCTTCTCCCTCAGCTAGGGGTTAATTAGTAAAACTTGTATCACTAAATTATTATTATATCCCCAAAATTTCTTAGGATCTAAAAATATTTTCTGGCTTTAAATAACCTGCAAAAGGTTGATAAACCGTAGAAAACGAATCAATCAATCAATATAAATTTCTAACGCCTTGACAAGATCTTTTTGCATCAAAATTTTGTTAACACAGACTAAATCTATTCTTAACGTTTATAATTTTTCGAAGCCAAGATTACGTTTTTTAAGTTTTCTTTAAATATAAACACCTTGATGTTTTTTGCTACTAACTTATGACTAAATGTATGTATGGTATATGTACATTATCTCTATACAAACACCATAAAGTGGATACTCGTATTTGAGTCGATGCACTGTTTATTTATTATACAGTATATTTATTTTCGTCTGCGATTTGAATGTTTGAGAAAATCTTATTAAAGAAAAATTTAGAAATTTGGTTTTAATATATTTTCCATTCAATATATCTAATACAAAAGATATTAAATTTACTTGGATTTATTCTTGAAATAATTAAATTTTGAAGTCAGTTTTGTAAGCAAAAACTTGCGGAAATTAGGTATTTCTATACATTTTTTCCAGACGATCTGTAAAACGAAATGTTCAAAAACTGATAAAAGATAAGAATCAAAATTTGATGTTAATAATTATCAACCCATCTTTCACTGTGTGTGCACTGCTGATTTTCTAAAAAGAGGAAAAATCAGCCCTATTCACTCAACATTTTGCTTTGTTACAAAAAAAAAGAAAAAAAGAAAAAGGGGGTAGTTCGGCAAAACAGCGTCTGACATGAAAGTACGTTGGGGAGTATTACTGAATTCTTTCCTGCGTAAAAGAATTACATCAACTGCTATTCTTTGATGTTTGCTGGACGATTATGTAGACTAACTTGTGAACGTGAGCTTAGATAGGGTGGGGGTAATGCATTTAAGTTATGGCAGCAGTGATGTAAAGATAAGCATAAGTGGATGCAGCGTTGGGGTCCCTACTGGTAAATTGCCGATAGACAACTATAGTCAAGAGACGGCACGCAAACTGATCAACAACAATATATTTTATCGCCTTTTTTGTACCGAGAACTAAATTTTGCATTAAGTATCGGACTGATATCTTCAAAAATGTCAGAAAGAAAAATCGGAAACGGATTGTCAAAAGATACAAGCAGTTTTACAGAAAATAACGGCATTCTTATTCGTCAAGTCAGTACGTCTGGTCTAGTGATATATTATGTAACATTTTTTACTGGATTATTAGATATTGTTGGCAGTTGTATATATTCATCGTCATAAATATCTACACCTGGAATAAAAAAGGTATTGCGGATCAACTGGTTAAACTTACTTTAGCAGGTGGTTCAAATTTGAGCAAATTAAATATATTAAAATGTGAATCGATCTTGGTTGATCGATTTTTTACGGCTCATCAAACTTTTGCAGGTCATTTAATGCTAGAAAATATTTTTAGATTGTAAGAAGTTTTTGGAGATAATAATGTGTTACTGATACTAGCCCTGTTAATTAATAATAGCTGCAGTGGAGAGGTAGATTATACCTTTACCAAGGGTATTCGTGTGTAAACGAATACAACAAGCCCGAGTGGAATTGGAACTCGGCTCTCTAATTTCTAAATCCAAGCCGTTATCCATTACGTCAACCGCAAATTAAGTATATTAAAATGTGAATCGATTTTGATTGATCGATTTGTTTTAAACGGTTTATCAAACATTTGTCGTCTATTTAAAGCCAGAAAATATTTTTAGATCGTAAGTAATTTTTGATGATAGTAATGATTTACTGATAAAAATCCTATTAATTAACCCAGAGCTGGGTGGAGAAGAGGTCGATTCGTACTTTTTTCCAAGAGTATCTAACGAACCTGACTGGAATTAGAACTCGGATCTCCGATTTCCAATTCCGATTCATTACATTATCCACACATCCAAGATTATAGCATCTGATATTCTCAGGCGGTCACACATTTAGGTACTGACCAAGCTCAATGTTGCTTAACTTCGGTGATCGGACGAAAACCAGTGTTTTAATGTGATATGACCGCAAGCCTCGGGAAATGTGAAATTTTCGTTGCTTTGAAAATAGGTATCAATCGCTGCAATAACCTTTAAGAGATATAGGGATTTTCCAAGCGTAGGTTAGATGTGACACAAGGCCGAAAATACGGCGCACCCAGTGAGGATCAAACTTACTACTCAGTCGTAATAGTTCTAGCTAGACAAGCTTGCTAACAATTACATCGCCTCAAGGAGCCCAACAAGCAGCTTTGAACTTTATAGTGATTTTCCAAGCGTAGCTTAGAAGTGGCACAAAGCCGAAGATCGAACTCACTACTCAGTGGTAATTAGTGAGACAAGCTTGCTAATCATTACACCGGCTCGAGGTTCCCAAAATGATTTTTAAACGTAGCTTAGATATGGCACAAGGCCGAGGATCGAACTCACTACTCAGTGGTAATTAGCGAGACAAGTTTGCTAATCATTACACTGGCTCGAGGTGCCCAAAATGATTTTCTTAGCCTAGCTTAGATGTGGCACAAGGCCGAAAGTGTGGAGTACCCAGAGAGGATTGAACTCACTTTTCAGTCGTAATTGATCTAGCAAGACAAGTTTGCTAAGCATTACACCATGTCGAAGTGACCAACCTTTAAGAGATATGGGAGGTCTGCCATTGAACCTGCGTTACAAAGCTAGTTATGGAAGCCGTTTTTAAGCTTGCTTGGTGCTGCATTAATCTGATCTGATAGACGAAGCCAATTTTAATAAACTGACATGAATAGGTACAATGAACAATGAAAATTTGTAATAGATTTAAATTTTTGCTATTTTATAAAACACCGTTCTCAAACTAATTCCACAATCCATTCAAATAATTGTACTTCAAACCTCAGAATTTCCTAAACTAAACATATTATTTATTAGCGATTGATGAGATTAACTTTCGTCGTATTATTGGTTTACATATTACAATCGCCGGAGGCACCTCGAGATGGTGTAATAGTTAGCAAGCTTGTCTCGCTAAAACAATTACGAATGAATAATGAGTTCGATCCTCACTGGGTGTCCCTTACTTTCGGCCTTGTGCCACATCCAAGCTATGCTTGGAAAATCACTATTACAATCGCCAGTAGATACATTTTAGTTTGTGAACTCTGCCTCCTTAACGTTTGTATGACGTAAAAACGACTTGATAATCCAACAAACATGGAAGGAAAAAATATTGAGAGTTAATTATTACTTGTGAATTATTTAATTATTACAAAGTAACGATTAGGATATAAAAGAAATCGAGAAAAAATGGCTAACTATTAACTGCAAGAATACAGAAAATACGGTCATTTGCAAGAGAGAAAGCCCAAGAAGCGATTTATAAATTGAAGATATTAACAGGAAGCAAGTAAAGAAGTTTCTGGGAAAATGCGACACCTAAATCCGAACACGCATTGGATTTGCAAATTTGCATTCCAAGAACTAAGGAAATCATCAAAAGTTTGTTAGAAATAAAAAAAAAATAAAAAGTGCTGGATTGGTATGCGATATCCATACTCTTATATGGCACCAAGTTCTGAAAAATCTTCTCACAGATGAAGAGAAAACAGAAGGCAACAGAAATGTGGTTCTACAGAAGGATACTGAGAATTCCAGGGACGAAGCGAGTAGGCAACGAGGAAGTCTTAAAGAAAATGTCAACAAAAAGAACACTTATATTCAGAACCAGGAAGAGATCGATGACATTATTGGACACTTATTGAAGAGTGAGTGCTAGGGAAATAAACCCCTTAAAGTACAGATTAAAGTCAAGAGAGATATGGCAAGGCAGCGATCCACCTGCCTAGTGAGCTTGTGTTAATAGATGACAGAAGGAGGTAATGGAGACAGGAATGGAAAAAAATACTAAGTTCCACCTGGGCATAGGAAGTTGGGAGTGCCATGATCGCCTATGTTTTGAAGGGGTGCAACACATAGAAGAAGAAGTTGAATAATAATAATAATAATAATAATGAGAAGAAGAAGAAGAAGAAGAGGAAGAAGAAGAAGAAGATCTGTAAGCCAAAAAAGAAAATTTCTTTATATCAGAAATGTTAGAATATGTCTAACTGCTGTAAAATTGTTTCAAGGACAAATTAGCTTTAATTTCAAGTTCATTTTGAGGATTTCTTGTGCAAATTTCATGAAAGCCAAAACGAAAAGAAACGATGAGAGTGTTTGTAATTTGTAGAATCGCATGATTCTACAAGGTTAATTGAATAACTACTGAATTAAAAAAAAAAAAACAAAAAACAAAAACGCCGTAATCTAATAAAATTCGACAAGAAGCTTGTGAAAGAAAGAAAAATAAAGAAGCTGCAAGAAGAGAATAAGGAAAATGCTGAATTATGGACGTCAAAGTCGAATGTTGACTAATGGCTGCTCTTCTGGCGAGGATGCGGATTATTTACCCGCTGTCCTCTCAGAATGCTGACTTGGCTTTTATTTGATTTTACGTCGATTAACACTTCTGGTTCGGCGGACGTAGTTATACGGCGTTATGAACCGTACATTGCCTGCTGTCGACGTATATATATAACGTTTTTAAGACCTAATGTATTTCGAAATATGAAACGCACCGTTGTATAAGACAAAGCTTAAAAAGAAAACAAACTACAATTGTATTTGAAAGTTTTCTATAGAAGGGAAAAATCAATCTGATATTTTAACAATCTCTATCTATAAAAGGAAGGATGTGTGTGTGTGTGTGTGTGTGTGTGTAACGAATGCACGGCCGCAATTTTCGACGGATTTGCACCAAAATTTACATGCACATGCTCCAAGTTAGCGGGAAGGCCAAAACCGATTTGGCATTTCCCAACTCCCATCGATAGTGGAAATAATCGATTTTTTCATGCTTCTACGGCGGTTTTCATGTAGTTTGCGGCCATTTTCTACTGGCTAGAGTGAGAGCCTATAGCTGGCTGACACGAATAGGCAGGAAGATTCTATTGACCAGCGTGAGAGCCAACAGCTGACTGACATGAATGTTTAGCATGCAAAAATAATCGATAACTGCATTCGTCACAAGTGGGAAAAATTTAAATCTGCATGCACTTTACTCCAATTGGCTCATTCGCTTGCTTAAACTCAACGTTGATTCTGATTCCGCAGAACTGGGTTGTGTGGGAAAAAGTATTTGTTGTTAACATTCTTTTTTCATTCGGTTTTTCCAGTTACGAGTCCTTTTTTAAAGCTGATCGTTTTGTGTTCATTTTGTTTAGTTCTTTTTTCGTAACAGATTTAATGTTTAGTATAGAGCTTCGAAAAAATTCTCAGTGTGAGATAGGCAAGAAGTAAGGCATGTAGAAACATCAGCACGTCAAAGGGCACTCCTTTAAAGGCAAGGAAGGGCAAAAATATTTTAAGTCAAGTGATAGCGATTGCTGTATGAGTCGTACGATTTTTGAATCAAGCACGGGCAACGCCGGGCCATGTTGCTAGTTATCATATACATTTAAAAATGAAAATTGCTTAAATCTCCAGGATATTTTGCTTTGGTCAGCATTCTGTGACCCTGAAAAATTTATAAACCATAAATACCCCTTAGCTACTCGAGTTTCTCACCCATAGTCTGACGATCCCTGAGCACAAAGGATAAATTCGAGCAGCTAAGGTAATTATATTGTATTGTATATATTTGATGCATTGTCACATCTTGGGGCACAAAGTGCGTTTTATACATGAAAATTCAGTACTTACAATGAATCGTCTGCTTTCGACGTTTATATGTTTTCGAGACACCATAAAATGAGGGTTTAGGCTATAAAATAAATAGCGCTTAATGCTATTTCCAAACCAACGAAGATATATAGTATCATACATTAGGACCACTTTTTAAACGCATTTTTTTTATTATGTTGTATACTGGAGATGCCTTTTAACTTAGTCTCAACTGTATAATATCCAATCAAATTCAAAATGGCGGCGCCCATGAGAAATTACCGTTATTGTTTAAAATGCTAAAGCAATAGACAAAATATTTCCCTATTTTTTACAAAATCGATTCAGCAGAACAAGGCAACATTGCTATTAAAATGCCGCAGAGGAAAATTACAAATAGTTTCACTGTAAACCAGAGGCACATTTAAATAAAATGAAAAGAAATTTATCGATTGCCCAGACTAAGAGAGATACATGTAAAAAAGAATAACATCAAAACAAAAAAATAAAACTAGGATGCGTTAAATATGTTAACCATAAATATAACGTATATACATATATTTATTAATTAATGTCCATTAATCTCTATATCTATCTATCTATCTATCTATCTATCTATATATATATATATATATATATATATATATATATATATATATATATTCAAGTGTTTGAAGTAATAGGAGTTCAAAACAGAAACTATGACCTGAAATTGGAATGAAATTCATTACAAAAATTCAGGATGTGGAATTAGTTAATATTCAAAATTTTATACACCTAGATCAGCGTACGGATCAGTTATAGTAAATTAGTAACACCACAAATTCGTGCAAAACCAAAACATCAACCTGAAAACTTAAGTCTTAAATCGAGTCTTAGACTTTTATATCGATTCCATGCATGGTGCTTATATCCTTCAGAAATATTTAATCACGCTTAAACCCTTTTCTTCATTCCGAAGGACGCGAGTTCGATCCAGGCACGCAAAACACAATCGGATTCTCCTCCTCTGGTGGACCGGTAAGTTATTATTCCAGCTCCACATTATTAACGAACAATAAGAATAAAAGGAGATGAATCAAGAAGACAATAGATAATTTACATTGAATTAAAATCTTTGAAGAACAAATTTGACTGGGAAGCTAGAAGCTGGAAGAGTGTTCCACAAGCGAGAAGTGAAAGAAAAGAAAATGTTAGCATAGAACTTACGGTTTTAACTAGTTAATTCAAAGATAAAATGATGAAAGCCCGTTGCTAATCTAGTACTGAGCCTGGATTTGTAAAGTCCACGTACCATAGCTGAAAGTTTATTGGAACAATTACAATGAAAGTATTTATAGAAAAATCACGAAAAAGA